TGAGATATTGATACATAAATTAATGCAAGTTTACTAAAATCATTATTATTTGATAAACATATTTCCAGTTTTTAACTCTTAATAGTTTAATTAGGAAAAATCTAAAACTGAACCAACTACATGTTGTAAAATATAATTTGTAAGTGACTTTTGCGTTCTACGAAAGTTTGCACAGTTTTTAATAATTCAAATAATAACGAGAAAATAATACTATAAATAGTGTTAATTAACTAAAATCATTACTATTGAATAAAAATACTCGCGATTCTTAGCTATTTATAGTTTAATTATAAAAAATCTAAACTAAACCAACTACATGCAACAACAAATAACTGTGGTAGTGACATAAAAAGTTTGCACAATTTTAATTATTCAAATAATACTGCAAAATTATCTATAAATTAGTGTGCATGTACTAAATCATTATTATTTAATAAAATACTCCCGATCCTTAACTATTTATAGTTTAATTAGAAAAAATCTAAAACTAAACAACTACGTGTTGTAAAATATAACTTGTAAGTGGCATCACAAGTTTGCACAATTTTTATTAATTCAATACTAACGAAAAAATTCAACTAAATTAGTGTAAATCTAAATAAAGTCATTACTAAATGAAAATACTTTGGATCTTAACTATTCATAGTTAAATATGAAAAATGAAGAACTAAACCAACTACATGATGTAATAAAACACTTTGTAAGGGATTTGAGTTCTACAAAAGTTTGTACAATTTTAACAAGTGAAATAGTTATGAGAAATTCATACTAAAATTGTGCTGATTTATTAAAATCTTCAGTATTTAATAAAAATACATCCTGTTGTTAACTATTTATAGTTTAATTATAATAAAAATCTAAAATTAAATAAACTAAGTGCTGTGCTGCAACACAATCACGTTGTAAGTGACAATTTGGGTTCTGCTAAAGTTTGCACAATTTAATTAATAACGAGAAATCAATACAAAATTTAGTGTATTTACTAAAATCATAACTATTGAATAGAAATACTCTGGATTCTCAACTATTTATAGTTCAATTAGGAAAATCTAAAACTAAACCAACTACATGTCATAAAAAACACTTGTAAGTGACATCAAAAGTTTGCCACAATTTTAACAATTGAAATAATACCGCTAAATTAACTATGTAATTAGTGTGTATTTATTGAAATCATTACTATTGATAAAAATATTTCCGACTCTTAACTATTTATAGATTAATTATAAAAAATCTAAAACAAAACCAACTACATGCTCTAAAAAATCACTTTGTAAGAGACATCAAAAATTTACACAATTTTAATAATTCAAATAATAGTCAGAAATTAACTATAAAATTAGGGTGTTTTTACTGAAATCATTACTATTGAATAAAGTTACACCCAATTCTTAATTGTTTATAGTTTAATTATAAAAAATCGAAAACTAAACCAACTACGTAAAACTTGTAAAATATAACTTCGAAAGTGGCATCACATGTTTGCACAATTTTTGATAATTCAAATTAAACTGTAAAATGAACTATAAAATTAGTGTATATTCACTAAAATCATTACTATTTATAAAAATACTGTCGATTGCTAACTATTTTTAGTTTAATTATAAAAAATCTAAAATTAAACCAACTACATCCTGTAAAAAATCACTTTGTAAGTGACAATTGCGTTCTACAAAATTTTGCTCAAATTTTTAGTAATTAAAATAATAATGAGAATTTAATACAATTTTTTTTGAAAATGTATAGAAGTTCATACTATTTAATAAAAATACTTCCAATTCTTAACTATCCATAGTTTAATTATAAAAAATCTAAAACTGAACCAACTACATGCCTTACAATATCACTTTGTAAGTGACCTCAAAAGTTTGCAAATTTTTAACAATTTAAATAAGAATGAGAAATTATTACTAAAATTAATATCGATTTATTAAAGTCATTATTATTGAATAAAAATACTTCCAAATCTCAACTGTTTATAATTTATTTATTAAAAATCAAAAAAAAAATTTATTTTTGTTAATATTATTACTAGCTGTCCTACTATCGGTCACTTTGACAAAACGGGCTTGGAACACTCATATTGTAGTCGATGTTTACAAAATGCAATATTTCTGAAATATTACTTGTTTTTATGGCAAAACTGTAAAATAAGTTTTTCTTATTTATTTACTGAATATTACAGACATAAAATATTCTGTTTGAAGATGAAAAAATCTTTTTTTCCTGACATCAGTATACAACTTGCAAAATGTGAGCTTGGGAAAGTAAAAGAAAGATAAAAAACAGTTGAAGACTTTTTTAAAACTTTTCACATAAAAATATATGTGATGATTCGATAAACTAATATCAGACTGGTCATTTCGTTCAACTTTTCAAGACAAATATAAGGTCTTTCATAGATATAAATCTATAAATTCATCATAGCATATCAAAATTTAATTCCATCAAAAATCTATGTATACATGAATAAATCTATTATATGTTTATTATAAAATTTTGTCTATAAATTATCTAATTTATTATGCTGTATCTATCGAATCAGTTTTTTTTAACCTTTCGATGTTTTGACGTTTTTTGTTTTGTCTGAAACACCATCAAGGTCTTGAAATAAAAATACAAAAATAACCGCATTGTTTCTTCTACAATCCCGTTTTTTGTCAGAACATAATAATGGACTCAACATTCTATTTTAATAATTTTGATTCGGATTTTTTATCAGAAAATTTGATAATTTGCATTGGAAAAACAGATCAGCAGTTGATTTTCTATTCTATTGATAAATTGTAACGATATTCTAATGATTACAATATAAATATAAAATGTATTATTTCATTTAATTAATAATATTAAACGGTAAAATTAGTTATAAAGAATCAATTGGTGATTTTTTTATATTAGTAGGTTTTTGTTAGTTTGATTTGAGAAAAATGATCGTGAAAGCAATAATTTTGTAACTAATTTATATTACTAAATAACAGTTCAAAAGAAAAGTTATTGTGATTCTCAAATTTTCAGGAAATTATTTCATATTGGAAAAAACAGTATTTGAGTATTATAAAAGAATAATGTAAACTATATAAACTGGCTGCTAGAACTAAAAATTTATAATATTAATATAAATTACAAAATATATTTACTGAACTAGGTGAATAAATTTAATTACAAATAAAAGGTACGCTCAACATCACATTATTATTTTAGTGTTAAAAATAAATTTTAAAATATTTTTTAAAATTCTAATGAAAACTTAAGGAATATTCCATTTCGTTAAATTGTGTTTGAAGCAAATTTGCATGTTTTTCAAATCTAATGTATATTTGTTATTTTTTAATATGAATGTTTTTAAATTGTGTATCCCCCAGATAAAAAAAATGTATACTATTTAATTTTTTATCAAATTTTATTGATACTCCTATGGGCATCTTTGGAGAAATACTTCGAAATGTGAAATAATGGTTTACTGACTGGATGGCACAAAAATTTTATATTTTGTTGATTGGTTTAGGATTTTGCTTCAGAAAGTACTGACATCTTGTTTAGAACATGTATTAAATAATTGTAGTTAATTATTTAATTATAATTGTAATAAATACAGAATTAATTTTCCATCGATTCATAATAATAATAAATTTTTGATATCTAGTCTTTACACATTATTTTTGGTTAAAGTGAAAAGACATAACATTTTGATTTTTAGGAAAACAAAGCTTCATTTATTACAATTTAAAATAAAAATCATAAAATTTTCACATATCAACAAAGATTTTAATTGACAATCGAAGAATACCTCATAAAAAGCACAATAATCAAAAGAAGTTAGAATTTTGTTAGTAAAAAAACTAAATAAAATTAAAATGAACTTTGTGAAAAACTTGGCGAACCGATTTGGCCAATTTTAGTCTTGAAACATTTACAACCATGACAATTTCGACAGATAAACATTTGAAAAAAATAAAGTTAGATTTGCCAAGTGAAAAATCAAATGT